GCAGGTAGGCAGGTGGGCAGGTATGCAGGTAGGCAGGCAGGCAGGCAGGCAGGCAGGCAAGGGGTAGGTAGGTAGGTAGGTAGGCAGGCAGGCAGGCAGGCAGGCAGGCAGGGTAGGTAGGTAGGTAGGTAAGGTAAGTAGGTAGGTAGGTAGGTAGGTGGGTAGGTAGGTAGGTAGGTAGGTAGGTAGGTAGGTAGGTAGGTAGGTAGGTAGGTCGGTAGGTGGTCGGTAGGTAGGTCGGTAGGTAAGTAGGTAGGTAGGTAAGTATTTAAATAAGTAATTAACTCGGCCCGCCCGGTCCGATTTTGATAGACCGATAGTTACACGGATAGGTGGACGCAAAAACGTTCGGGTCCAGAGGAGTCCATCATAAATAGGCAATCATATTAACACTCAAGCTTTTTTGCATGCAGTCTTGCCGGGAAGGGCATGTTAGGCAGCACTCGGGGCTACAAACTCACTTTGACCATTCTGTGCATCAGGCCTCGCGCAATCGCTTGAAGGTTGGCCATACCGCTCAATAGAAACTCGCGGGACAGCCTCGAAACGCATGATCGCACACACGATCCACTCTGACCCTAAACCCTTGAACCCCAACAGCACTGAACCCAAACCCCAAATCCAAGCTCCCAAACGGTACAGCCGAAGTGCATATGCAGAGCCAGGATTTTTCGTAGTTTCGGGACAAAAAAGTCAGACTGACTTTTTAAGAATGGGCACCGCCCGTTCAGTATTGCATGCCAAAGCGGTTCAAACTGACATTTGCTGCAAAATCCGCTTGATACTGACAAGAAGGGAAGTATTTCAGCGGTCCTCTTTGACTCCTAGACCGCGAGTCGCAGATGTGAAATCCCCTTAGCGAGTCCTTGGCTGCCTTTGGCCGCACACGATGGGCCAAGGGGTGAGCGTCACCCGTCTTCTCGAGATCCACGCAGAGCATGTTCTCCCTGGTTTCGAAGAGCTTGCTTTTTGTGCGGTGAAGACGTTGATTGGTCATTTCTGTGTTCTTCTGCTGAGTGAGTGCCTCAAGTCGGCTTTGGAATCGAAGGTTTCTGGTAGCGTAGTGAGGGCTTGCCGGTTCTTGTCAGTGCGTGGGTACCAGTAGGAAGGAAACATCCGTCACAGACGATATCATACGATGGCTGCCGGGCGATCCAGCAACGTGGATCGGCTGCATAGCAAAAGAAACGGTGCTGCTTCCTTCGGCAGAGAACAGACTATTCTACAACCAGTCCTTTCAGTCTGGCCCGTCTGAACTGAACAGCGCTGCTGCATAAGCTTGGGACTTCTCTCGTCATGGCCCTAGGGTGTAGGGTTCTGGGCTTAGGGAGCAGGCAAGGAAGGAATATCAGACCGGGCTCCTCAGCATGCCCCAGCCGGGCCTGTTGCAGAAGACGCCGGTCTCCTTCACGAAGGCGTGCGGCGAGGGGCTACTATGACTATGGGCTGTTAAACATAAAATCAACATTACTATCAAAGGGCTTGCATGTTCCGTCAGCTCGGCATAAAGCCTCGCATCCATGTGTTGGCTGCCGCATGGCTTCTCGCAATGGGCTTTGCAAGCACAGCTGTTCATCGCCTTGCCATCGTACCAGAGACGACCACGCTCCACACTGCCTCAGCTGCCAATCCCTCTCGAACTCCTTCTGTCTACTACGCCGGGAAATGCATGTAAAGGCTACTGTAAGCCTCTACCCTATGTAGAAAGCCCGTGAAAAACCGTAACCTGGTCGTGTCACGTCTGATCTCTGGTCGAAAACGAAATCGCTTGAACCCAGTGGAACAGGTGAGCGCGGCGATTTTACAGCAGCCTAAGCTTTGCTGTCTGTTGCTGAAATCAACCCGCACGACGCACACGAGTTCCTCAACGATGAACGGACAAGAGAGTCTACGCTAAACGTGAGATTCCGTTTTGAAGACTCGTTCTGTGATGGCGACTTTGCGCATGGACACCCATCGTTCGGTGTCTCGGCATGTTGAAAGACAACTGTGTCCCCCGTCATCACGGACAGACAAGAGGTTCCTGTGATTGAAGCTTCCCCTCCACTGACGGTTCCAGAATGGTTCCTCGCTCATATACAGAAACTTTCATTCCGGGCTGTCCGTCTCCACTTTCTGGTTAGTTGGCTTGCGCCCCATTTGCGCTCGGTTCTACCATGGCTTACGGCCGGTCTACAGTTACGGCGTGCGGACCAACAGGGAGGTCGAGACTGCGGATCACAGACGCCCCTTTGTCAGCATGACGCTAAGACTAGTTACTAATGCTTTCAATGACCTCTCAAATGACCTCAGACACGAATATACTCCAACTGCGACAAAGTGAGCGCCAGTACAATACACCCCAAAGCCCTTGACAATCCTAAAACCCAAAACCCTAACCCCCAAAACTCTTAAAGCCTAAATAAGCCTAAGCCCTACTACCTAGACCCTAAACCCTGAACCCTAAACCCGAAGCCTAAATAAGCCTAAGCCCTACTACCTAGACCCTAAACCCTAAACCCTAAACCCTAAACCCTAAGCCTAAGCCTAAGCCCAAGCCCTACTACCGACCTCTTCTTTCCAAGCGGCGCAGGTAGCGACGCCAGGCCGGAGCGCTCCAGCCTCTGACCATCTCCCCAAGAAAGCACCGCATCCTTATGTTATGGTATAGCATCGTAGTAGATTATGGTAAGATGCTAGTATGTTAAAGGAAACTATATTATTATGGTGTAGCATAGTGGTAGATTATGGTAAGATGCTAGTATGTTATAGGAAACTATATTATTGTGGTATAGCATGGTAGTAGATTATGGTAAGATGCTAGTATGTTAAAGGAAACTATATTATTATGGTACAGCATAGTAGTATAATGGTAAGATACTAGTATATTATGGCAGAGTAAACTATTATGGTATAGCATAGTAATATCTTATAGTACTGTTCTAGCATAGTATAGCAGAGCCTGGGCATACGATACTATATTATGGTGTAAAATAGTAAAATAGTACATGACTTCAATGTAAAAAACCTTGAACATTACCAAGGGGCTTGGGGGGTATGATGGGGAGCACTAAGGAGCGGAATGATAATGATACTAGAAGTGATAATGACCTTAGTAATTAGAAAAGGGTTTTGGGGTATAGTATACTATAATTACAATAAGGAACCCCCCCCAAAAAAAATCCTATAGGCAATTATTTAGGCTTCTATACTAGTGATAGTCACCATAGTAACGATGAGGTTCGAGTCGGGAGCCGAAGGACCCTCGTAAGGATGATTAGGAATGAGGCTAAAGACAACCAGGAAATAGCAGTACTCATGATGAAGACCCAAGGCTGCTCTGACGTACATGGCTTCTGCAGGACCTTGCAGGATTCTATCAGGATTCATAAGAGGCTTGTTCTGCTCATGTTTAGCTAGCATCCGAAGATCAGGGGTCAACAGAAAGACTCTAGTTTGATTACCGGGATCCTTTTCCTGAAAACAGCCCCCAATTTGCGATCCCGAAATGATGAACCTCCCTGGATGAAGTCCCCCAGCTAGGAAATGCCTTGTCGGAGCAGCCTGACACTTGTCGCCAAGGTTGCAAAAAGGAAAACACGAACCAAAGGGAGGAAGCCGCGTGATTCTACCTTGCTATATCTTGCTATGGAGGGTATGATTGCATCTTGCACTACATTGATGCGGACGGTTCCAGACCTTTGTAAATGTGTCCACTGTACACGAAGGCAAGATAAAGACGCGATGTCTCATCGATGTTACGGTCTACGGTGGCTTAAGACTTAAGTAAGGTATCATAGGGGGCTACTCTGTTGATTCCGGCAACTGGTCAAACATCCCGCTGAAGGCTTGCACCTGAAGGGCCACGGCCCAATCCTCGAGCAAAGCGCCCGTCCTGATTTGCTCTGGTTCACAGATGCTTGAGCAGTAGGTGGTGTCATGTTTATCGGTCGGATGGCCTCCTGCTCAGACTGCGAGAAGCATCACTTCTGGAGCTACTACAACCATGGCTACTGCTGCTAGTACATATACCTTGCCGGCACCGGCATTTGCGCTTCGAGAGAACAACGAGTAAACAACAAAACCACGGCACAAGACGAAGACTGTTCCGTAGGTGCAGCTACTGCACGACTGCAACTACAAACCGTCGTTCTTGTGCCACTCGGTTGCTAGTACTACCCGTACTATCTACTATCTACCCACCTCTGTTCTACCTACTTCCATCGGGAGGCCCACCCACCCACCAACCCACACACCCACCGTCCTAGCTTCTAGACTCCCTGCCCACCTACCGACTGCTTTACCTCTCTATTTCCCTACTTTACTTCTACGTTCCTGTTTCCTTTTTTCTCTCTACCCAGCCAGCCACCCACCCACCCACCCACCCACCCACCCACCTACCTGCCTTCCTACCTTCCCTTCGTTCTTGCTCGGTTGCTTGGTAGCGTGCTAGCTGCTAGCTTGCTCACTGACTACTGACGAACTGACGAACTAACTGCGGCTACAACGTCCAGGACTAGGACTAGGGCTAGGATTTGGACTAAGACTCGGGTCACTAGAACTACGACTAGAATGACCATCAGTGAAAGCACCACAGCCACGACAACGACGACCTACTGCTAAACTTTCGGCCCAGTATGCGAAAGCGCAATTTCGCAAGTTTTGGCGGGACCTACGCCAAACAGGATCCTCCATGACCAGTAGGTGCTGGGGCACTGGCAGTGCGCTCTCGGTAGTAGGACAGAAAGCGTTCGATGGGATCCCGCACAAGCAGGAAGCAACGGACCTGGAAACGAAAGCTGCGGTCATAAATCTTGCGGAGCTCACAAGTTACATCAGCTACTGTTTAAAGTAGGGGATTTGAGGACGCAGGGGTCTGAGCATTCGACCCTCACTCCTGGCTACAAGCCGTCCCAAGCTGGTCCAGTTAGCTTCGATTTGAGAGCTTGTAACACACGCAGTTAGATGCCTCTCTTTTGATGTCCCCAACGAATTTCGAGTATATTTGTGACCAGTCATGAGGCTCTTTGAAGATGTTGTAGCTATCGCTAAGGGGGGAATACAGCAGCAAGCGTATCGTGCTTGGCCGCTGAGGCTGAGCACATAAAACGTTAGCAGAAACGTGCGTGAAGGTGTTGATGACACCTGGTGATGCAACGTCGGTCAAGTCTGTCCCTACATGCGAATACTAAGTGCTTAAATCCTTCATCCTAGACTCTACCCTATAAGACCCAATGCTCATACTCACGGCTGGCCTTCTTTCGGCTCGGGCAGTCGACACCCTCATGCATCACACGCCTCGGCAAAGGTTTCTAGGCTGTAGAAGGAATGGAATGCTGTTCTTGGCTTCGCCTTCCTGTCATTCTTCCTTGCTTGGTTCACAAAGCTCAAATCACTAACCACTAATCCAAAGCAGCTGCAACAAATGGATTCGCATTAGAGGCTTCGGGTTTGGGCGCAGCCGAAGGCGCACGCAAACACAGAGGGCAGCAACGCACATTACATATGAACACCGCAACTTACCTGCGAGGCTCATTCCCGGTAGGCATCACGTGCAGCGAAGCCCCCAATACTAGAAAAAGTCCCCTCCAGGCAAAACTCCTCTTCTAGCAGATATGTGCAAGCCACACAGTTCGAGCAAGTCTCAGCTTCTGTACTAATACACCATCGAACAACACTTACCCGCACCAAGGCTCCGTGCGCCCAAAAGGCGTGGTATGTGTGCAGCCCAGCGGCCAGTCGAAGTGTCCAGAAACCACTTCGAACCTGTCGTTGAGAAGTTCCATTTGGGATGAGGGCGGGGTTCAAGGCGAAGAAGCCGGACCTAAATTCCGCCAGGACGGTCTTAGCTTCCGGGAGCAACTTCTTGACGCAGGAGAAATTGCTTGCCACAGATTGCCAGATGTATGCACCTTGTGTCGGCGACAAGAAGAGCCGACTTTCTACTGGGCCAGCAGATGGTTTGGGGCAAGCTCTGCAATAGCCTACAACTACAACGAAACACCTTTAGCGCTGAGATGACGTCGACGCTGCCACGCTCCAGGCAAAATCCACAATGTTTAGGGTTTAATACCGGGGCCCTAATCATTAGAATAAGGTCTTGCGGCCCATCATACTATGATTCTAATAAGGAGCCCCCAAAATAGTATTGGTGACTATTTAGGCCCCTACAATACCAACCCAGGCCCGAACTTGAGGGTTCGCGCTGCGCAGGCCTTACAAAACGAGCTCCCAAAGCCACAGGAACTACTCATAGGCCCCATAGTAGTTCCTTTTTGGGATTACCTTATAGGATTCCAAATATGACCCCCAAAAAGGAACTACTACTATGGGGCCTATGGGTACTAAACCCTAAACCCTAAACCCTAAACCCTAAACCCTACGCTGAATCCTGATACCTGACCCCGACACCCCCCTAAGTAGCGCGTACTGTGCCCTAAACTGAAGCCACAACTGCGAGCTGCGATTGGGTTTAGGGTTTAGGGTTTAGGGGTTTAGTTGATGAGCTGCGAGACGGTATCCCCTAAAACTCCCGCGCCCTGAAAATCCCGACACCCTATTCTGCGGAGTCTCCAGCCCTGAAATCCCTAAACACACCCCGGAACCCTAAACCCTAAATTTACTAAAACCCTCAAAACCCTAAACCCGAAAACCCCTAAACCGCGAAAGCCCCAAACCCCCAAAGCCCTGAACTCTAAAACTCCCCCAACGATCCTAAACCCTAAACCCTAAACCCTGAACCCTGAACCCCTAAACCCCTAAACCCCTAAACCCTGAACCCTGAACCCTGAACCCCAAACCCTAATTCAAGTTATAAGAGCCCACCCCTAAACCCTAAACCCTAAACCCTAAGAGCCCAAACCTATAGTCCTAAACCCCAAACCCTAAACCCTAAACCCTAAACCCTAAACCCCTAAACCCAATCCTTACATCCGAAGCTCTTGCCTTGCTCTCGCCTCCGGCCCGGCGGTCTTCAGATAGAAGGGGCTTCCCACCTCAAGGGGTTTAGGGTTTAGGGTTTAGGGATCTAGGTTTTAGGGCTTCGGGTTTAGGGTTTGGGGATCTAGGGTTTAGGGCTTTAGGTTTAGGTTTTAGGGCTTAGGGTTTAGGGATCTAGGGGTTTCTATGGGTTTCTCAAAGGGTTTGAAGGGGGCCAGATGAGTTCTCTTCTGCACTCAGCACCCGTCGACGGTAACCCAAACAAACTAACCAAAAAATCGATCGTCAAAGCCAGGTGCACCCGACTGCACAGGAGACCCTGCTGCGTTGTTCAGAGGTGCTGCCTCTGCAAACTCCTGTTAAGAGCCCCCTACCCCTAGATGCGAGGCTCATTCCAGGCATCCAACTGTCAAACCAAGGTTTGGGGTTTGGGCCCCCTTCGGGAACCCTGTCGGAACATTCATATAACCCTAAACCCTAAACCCTAAACCCTAAACCCTAACCCTTAAACCGCTTTTGGGCTTTGCGGGAGCCGAGGACTTGGGGCCAAAGCCGTTGGGGTGGTCTCGTTGGGGTGTACCTCGGCCCTGAAGAGCCTACCCCTTTAGGGCTCCTACTTAGGGTTTAGGGTTTAGGGTTTAGGGTTATCCTTTCTTTCTAATAAGTCCTTAAAAAAGGGTAGGTTCTGTGGGGTTAAGGTAGACTAAGCCAAGATGGAGAACCCCAAGGAAGACGGACAAGGAGATAAACACGGGTGTGGGGCTTGATGGAAGTTTTGTTTGCCGACCCTGGAACGACAACACGAAATCGAAAGCCTAACTTCAATCTCAGCCTCAGATTCCTTCTGTAGATTCCAAGTCCATGGCCTAGTGCTTACGTGCGCGATGGCTGAGCGCGCGGCAGCGACGGGGTGACCTGGCATTGTGTACCTTACCAGGTTGGCATAGGCTTTTGGGAAAAGGCGCAAGGTGCAGGGTTTCGGTCTGTGTTTCAGGTCTTACGGCTAAGGTGGGGTCCAAAAAACCACGAACAAGGAGGATCCGCAGTGGTGGTGCATGGGTGTTCAAAATTGTTACAATCCCCGGAAACGAGAGGGCCACCAAGGCTTTGTGAGGTTGCCTGAGAAAGGATTAGCAGACCTTGGCATGTAGTGGCCTCTAAGTTGGAAGCCATGCAGAAGGGAAAAATGTTCTGCATGGGGCAAGACAGGCAACGCCTACGTGCCGTATTGAATCCCATGCCAGAACCCCAACTCGAGACCGTGAACCCTGAGTTAACACAGGTGGGCGGCATGAAAGAGGACTCAAGCTTGCCCAGCTTCCAGACCTCACCGGGAAGCTCGCGGGGGACGAAACCAAATTGTTGCTAGCCATACTCATGTTGCTCGAACGAACTACAGGCAAAACAGCTATAAGTAACAGCCCATGAGACTAGCAATGCAAGGCACCAAATACCTGTCAATAACCTGGCAATTGCAGAGTCGAATTTGGCGATCCTGCGGAAAACGAAGACGACAATCCAAAGAAAATCTCACATGCTCAGTGGCGTAGGGTGTGCTTTTATCAGCACCCTACGGTTCAGGAATGTTCAGGACCCATTGTCGGGTCCTACACCCTAAACCCTAAACCCTAAACCCTAAGCTTGAAGCTTGTCGTTCGTCCCCTTCCGCGTTTAGCGAAGAAGTGCTTGGGATAGGACTGAGGAGTGTAAAGCTTTCGTGCTCGGGTGCGTAAACGTAACGTTTAGAACCTCGAGACCTTTGCTCAGGGTCTCGCGGAGTACTTGAGCCACTGCATGAAGGCCGTGCCACCAGACTTCTCCTTGAAAGCAGCACACAAGAAGAGTGAGAAAGGCAGGACTTCGACTAGTTGTGTTCAGAGTTGGGGGTTGGGATCTTTCAATTCAACGTGTGCGAAGAACCGATGAGAAACAATCTTTCAAGTTGTTGTGGCCCTGTGCGAAGGGCCGGCATCGTCGACTGCAGGCGCTACAGTAACGAGGGGCAGGGCTTGGCAGTTGAGTCTGCATGTGCGCACCTTTCGGCGAACGAGCTACAGGGATTCTTGGCATCGTTCACTCCTGCATCAAACGTTTGATGGAGAACCTTTTGAGGCGTCATTTCTTGGTACTGGGAATCACTTCAACTGCCAGTTGTCGAATAGAGTTTAAAGGCTCCTGCATATTGCTGAAGGACACAAGGATCTCTTACACTCTTACACTCACCCATCTACAACAAAGACTTGTGTCACAAGCCCGGCGTTCGGGGGGCCCAGCACTCAACCGTGCCTTTTGACGCTCAGACTCGGACGAGCCCAGGCTAGGATTGCACTGACAGTCTGCAACGTGAAAAGACTCATCGGAAGCCGGCGCTGGCAGCCGTCTGAGCTCCTCAAGAAGCCCACGCCAGGCACCACCCGATATCTGACCCAATCATACCAAACTAGCCTAGACCTCAAGCATCTGTGCCGATCCACGTGGGATCCATGTCTCAGGTAGGAAGCTGGCTACATCAAGGCCTGAGCAACTGTGCCTGCTGCGCTTGGTCCATGCTCATCTCCATCGTGTCAACTGCAAAATCACCGCAGACACCTTCCTCGTCCACATCGTTTCGAAACCGCAGCCGATGAGCATGCCACTTCCGCCAGCTCTGTCGCATCGTGGGGCCGAAGTAGCACATCAAGGATATCATGGCTAAAAGTATCACAGGCAGAAACACCCGGAAGCCACTGGGCGAATCAGCCCTGGCATCAGCCTCCTTCCTCGTGATAGGCGGAGGGCACAACCGCCAGCCTCTTTTGGAGACCGAATTGTCAGACCTCCACACGATTGATTCCACAGGAACAATGCCTTGTGGTCCGGCTGAGCCGCTGTAGGCCTTGCCATTCACCGTGAGGAAGTCGTGATTGTTCTCCGTGTCGAAATCTGTCAAATTTAGAGGGCCTGCCAACGACTTCTCAATTTCGATGCTACAGTGCTCTTGCGCCCCGTAATACCTTGGAAAGTTGTGGCTCGTCACACAGCCATCTACGTCCAATTGACAGGGCCGCGTGACCGACTTCCAAATGCCCGCCCGCTCTACTGCATACTGCACTCCGTAGATGTACACGCGGCCAGCAAAGCCTGGATTGGTGCTGTTTTGCGTGCCGTATGCAAAAGGTAGCCCTCTGTCCGCCGAGCTCTCCTGCACTTTGAAGAGAACCCAGTTCAGCGGCTCTACATGAGAGCCAGCATAACCGATCACCATCTCCTGCGATGCCCCAGCGATTCCAAAGGTGCTTGCAGCCTTCCCGACCTTGCAGTGCCCGGATCGCCAAGCTGCAGAGCCATCGTTCTCTCGATCACTTCCCATGCACTCATTGACAATGCTCAAAAGCGACCTTCCACGGAATCTCTCGAAAAGCTGAAACTCAATGAATCCACCGGCCGTGTCCTCGAAGCGTACTCCGACCAAACCTGCAGTGTCGTAGGCGGGGGTCTTGCCATCACGCCCCGACAGCATGACTCCAGCAGAGTCCATGATGTAGCCACCGGCACTGTACCAGCCCATCCACGTGTTGCGATAGGTGTGCGAATACCCCGGGCCTGAAAACAGCATTTCCAGTGCTTGGAGAACAGCCGCATGTTGCAGCAGTGTCAGCCACGCCACACATTCGCGTAGAGATCGTCTGCTCACCATTGGTCATAACCTCTACTCGTGCATGACAACCCTAAACAGAAGGTGTAGCAAGGTCGAGTCAAGTCGTGGAGACTTCGCGAGAATGCCCTGCAGAAAAGCCTGTTACACAACTGCCTCATCCCAGCTCCGTGGCACTATGAACCTTCCTCATGCCAGATCATGCCAGAATGAACTAGGAGGCAGGCCGTGGGAGAGCGATGTCTTTATGACAAAATGACATGTGAGCTGTGACGTACATGTACTTGAGCCAGAGCTACAAGGGGGTTGCTTTTTGTGAGCGGGCGTCCCCACAAGACGGATCCTATTATTCCTGGTTCTGCATTCGAGCTTTTGTATACTGAAGCTGAAATTTCTCCGTGCCCTCAGAAGTACCAAGAACCGGGTTCACCAAACTGCAAAGCCTCAACCAACCTTGAACCTTCCCATGTCCGGTCCCCAGCCCACTCCTAAATTTCAATGACCATGAATGAAGCCCTTTCCCTCATCCTAGACCACGGAACCATAATTCAAAGAGCCTAAACCACTTCTCGTGGTCGAAGCAGGGTCAAAGTGCGAGCCAGCGGCATCCCAGATGAAGACGAAAGGCTCCTCTTGGCTGGGCACCTCCTGTGCATCGGCGTCCGCGAGTCAAGGACTCGGAGTTTGGAGCAAACAGCTAGGGTCGAGCATGGTAGAGCAAGCAGCAGTTTGGCTTGAGAGATCTGCTTGAGGAGCTTGGTCCTGCTCTTTCTGCCCTGGCTTGCAAGGTGGGGCCTCTGTGCTGCGTGTTCGGTGGCACGGACCAAAGCAGCAAAGGCACATCGATCATTTTCACACTGGCTTCTTCACGAGCTCCGAGAGCCTGCCTGGACGTCGGCACCACAGTCTATCAACGGATGATCCGTGGACACTTTTGCAAGAGCCCGGAGCCATACCTTTCGAAAGGCGTGCACCTTAAAAAAGGAGGACCAAAAGCCAAAACTTCGACAGCTTCAAAAGTTCTGTCGGAGCTGTTCAGGGGTCTGTGCGCTTAGTCCTCCTGATGTCTGTTTGGGTCATGGATGAACTTCCAGTGCAGCTGCTTCGCTTTCTCGGAGTCGAACTTCTGGCGGCATTCTGGGCATTGGAACGTGCCCGTCATCTTGATGCCCACATTGGTCGTGGTTCCGTCGCCAGACTTGGCGGCATCGCTAATCTCCATCGTCTCGGGCATGATGCCTACAGACGTCTCAAGCTAGCAGCCGCGCGGTATGCCCAGAGTCCCTAAATCGCTTGAGCCGGCGCCATGTGTCAGGTACATTGTGTTTGGGAGAAGGGAGTTTGGTGGAGGAGGCTGAAACGTCATCACATGTCTTGCAGCTTTCCTAGAGAAATCACTCAGGGCAAGGCAAAATGTTGGTTTAGGATATGCACCTCACCAGCAAAAGCCGCGAGCATGACTTCTCAAGTGCTTCGCTTCGGTTAACAAACTCCACAAGATTGAAAACTGCCAGCTGCAAGCCATGTAGAACCACACGCCCCGCCTCCCTCAAGTTCACAACGCAAACAAAACAGCTCAACTGCAACCTCAAAGCAGGAGGTAACGCGAAACGGCAGTGGTCCTGAACCCATGGAGGGCCATCAAGTGGAGAGACCAGCGTCGTGCCGTAGGGCCCGCCTGGTGGGTAAAGGGTTGTGAAGAAAGCCTACTGTAGTATGATGTAGTAAAGTATAGTATAGTGACATTCATGTATAATATACTGTAACAAAATGGAATATGATGTACTGTTAAATGATATACCATAGTGTAATCTAAAAGACTGCCCTGCCCCGAACCTACAACAAGCTTGTGTGCCATCTGAGCTGCCACTGCCACAAGCTGCATCGTCCAGAGGTGGGAATGACACGTTCTGCACGCAACAGCCTGGCTGTAGGCATGGTTGCAGGCTTGGGATTCGCAGAAGTACTGGGGACGGGTTTCGGGTGAGGCGCATAGCATCCCAGCTACGACATGTAGCCGAGGACTTCCAGGCATCAAGGGACCAATCAGTTTGAACGGGACTCTTACACCACCATTACATGGTCCGCTGAAGGGAAGTTGTCCTTAGGTTGAAGGCGGCCATGCTTTTCATGAAGCCTGAGATGTCCAATCAACAGTTTGCATAGGTCGCCAGCACACCTGAAGCCGCAAGCTCTGATGCCCAAACGACACAACAACCAAGAATCAAGAATCATCCGAGGTCTCGTCTCGTTGCGCATCATGATACACCATTTAGGCCCTCATCATCAACGGCATCAGCTGCACCATCGCCGCAGTGGCACAGAAAAAGGCAGCCTCAGTACAAGGATAGACGGACAAGCTAACAACACCTACCACGGCTACTGATAGAACGACGTGTAACAAGTCTAGACCTAACACCCTTACAACAGCGTTACACCAAAAGTCGGGAGCCCTGGCAAATCAAAACCCTCGCAACATTTGGAGTCAGCACGATCTTCATGATCCAACATAGTCACATGGACAAGATAGTAATGCCCGGGGTAAGGCCGCGCTGATAAACCTCAATCCTGAAATCTCTCTGTCGCACCGATCTCGCCCAACCCAGCTCCAAGTCCCAAGCAGCCTCAACATTGAACCCGAAGCAACCACCAATCAATTCCTACTGCCGGGCAGCGATGGAAGGTCCAGAAATCATCAAAGCAGCCTGGTTTGTATTCTGTGGTGGTTTCTTGTTGATGCTTACCTGTCTTAACCTATAGGGGACTGACAATGGAGTGATAGACGGCTGTATGGTGTCCGGATTTAGGGCATGCTCAGCTTTAAGGGCCCACACGAGTTGGAGAAACTGCTGGGGGTTTCAAGGACTGGAGCTTTGGCTGCCTCGGCGCAGGCTAGGGTTAGTCAGATGGCTGAAACTCCCAAAGGCGGAACTCAAATTATCAACCCGAAGTCGCCGAAGCCCCATGTCACTATTCATAATCACATGTTGTTAGTACAGTATCTTGTAGTATGTTGGGATATAGACCCTTCAACATGCCCAAAACACGGAAAACTTAAACACGAAGTCAGATTCTGCCCGATGGCCAGGCGCTCCAACCGTTCCGAAGGCGGGGTCGCAGCAACGCGCCTTCAAGAGGCGCTACTATAGGGGCCTAAATATTGTCGTAGTTTCCCAGTACCCTGGCCCAAAAAAGTTTAAACTTTTCTTTTAATAGGAGTTTAATATACCCAAAAAGTTTAAAGTTTATATTGGGCTCCCAAGTTGTTTTGCATTACTATTTTGGGGGTTCCTTGTTCGAATTATAGTATAATGGGCCCAAAACCCTATTCTAATTATTAAGGCCCCTATTTTAAGTAGGGTCCAGAGTTTAGCGGTTTAGGGTTTAGGGTTTTTTAGGGTTCAGGGGTGTTTTGCACAAAGGCTCTCTTTAGGGTACTTTGGCTGCCTATACAGCTGCGCAGTAGGTTGTTGCAGTACCAAAGGGGGCTGTGCATCCCGGAAGGGAAGGTCGGGAATATGTGAAGGTTTAGATATTTGGGTCAAGGTGCCAGGCACAGTCAAACACCCTTCAATGCCGACGCAAAAAAAAAAACGAAATGGCATGAGCGCAATTCCCATACACGGCACTCTGTGCCTTCAAAGCCTAAACTCTCTCTGGCTCTCTCTCGCTCTTCCACGCAGAAACCGCAACTCTCTTTTTTCAAGAACCTCAAACCTTACACCCGAAGACCCGAAAAGCTGCTGTCTGAACTCCCCAACAGCCTTCTGAATCCACATACAGAAGCAGGAAAACAAACAAGGCAAAACCACCCACCCAAAAAGGCACCGTCATAGAACAGGGGCCTCGGACAACCCCCCCGACCAACAGAGAGAGTCGGCCCAGGGGGTCTTGAAGTGCCAGACCTTCGTGGAAAGGATTTGTTGAGTTCGGGGCTTTGGGGGGTTTTGACACTCACACTGGGACAAGCCTGGCAAGGCCTGCAGCGATACTGGTCCGGCGGGACTCATTAACTGCCGACTCCATCGCTGCTCTGCGTAGGCATCACTGTCAGGCAGGGCCAAAGACAGGACAGCCACAAGTACTCACCCGATACAGTAGCCCATCTGAGGGCAGTCCCACACCAACCTACATCAGGCGAAACCCTTCGTGTACTAAAGCTTGCTCATGTCATGCACCTGCTGCAAGGACTGGGCCCTAAACCCTAAACCTTAATCCGAAAGCCCCAAGGAGCGAGGCGTCAATCCGAGGCCCCATCGGGTGCTGTGTCTTTAGCTGAGGCCGGCAGACCTGCACATGAGATTCAGGGTTTTTTAGGGTTTAGGGTTTAGGGGTTTAGGGTTTAGGGTTTAGGGGTTTAGGGTTTAGGGTAGGCGAGGGTTCAGGGTTTCGGCGCTCACACTCGGACACCGGTTTAGGGCAACTTGGGATCT